GATCAATACAAATTAGTCTTGATAGCAGTAAGCTTCAAAAGTGATCAATCAAAATCCACATCAATTAATGGGAACTTAGTATAGAAACTATATTCAAAACAATTGTGACACTGATCAGAAGCTGAAATATGGTAGAGAAAGTGGAGATGAAAAGAAGTATTTTTTCATTAGTTTCATAATTCTTAAACTATTTCAAGGATATCAAAATAAAGAAGCTAAAGTAATATATGTTAACTATTTTTTTCTCTTCAGCTTGGGAAATGGGTAACCTGTTTCCTTAAGACAAACATATCAAACTAAATGAAATACCAGTGAAACATGTTCAGGTTCACAAATTTCACTTAAGTGTTCATGTTCATACTGCATCATTCCTCAAATAAAGCAAGTTTATTTCTTTTCTTTCTTTACATCTAATTATGATGTTTGCCATGCATGTTGACAGAACCTTCCAATTGGTAACCAAATTGAATGGTAAAGAACACAACCTCTTGCAGAAACATGTGCAAGTTTTCAAAAGCTTCTAAAATCAATTTAATATTTCAGTTGAAATAACGAAAATGTTAAAGGAAAATCATACTGTCATGTTCGACAATCATAAAGAAAAGGTTTAATTAAAAGCAAACAAGAAAACCTTTTATAGCATAGCATAGTGTACACAAGCTGCAAATATATGACTGAGAAAATTAGTCTTAACAGATAAGCTGTGAAGTAAACTTGATAACAGGGTAATCATATAGCAGTGACAAATAGAGGTTGATATTGCCATTTGTTATAAAAAATGGTCCCAGTCAATCAAATTAAAATCTTTAACCTATACATGTATGATGTGATCAACATGCTACTGACAACATATTCAAATTCCTCTAGAATTTATTAAAAGCACCATGTGAAATATTTCAATTTTTCTTGGGGCAACATTCTAGATCTTTTCATAGCTGTGCAATGCATTAATCTCCTTGTGTACTGCATTATGTTCCATGCACATATCTAATAGTAATACACTCCATAAATATTAGGACTGTATCTCTGTAAGTATTGATGAAATCTTCGCACATTTTGAATAGAACATCTTGCTAGAATAAGCTGGGGGGTTATGCAAAAGTTCTTGCAACTTACTTACAATGTACACTGTATTGCATATGCGAAGTCGGGGGAATAACTCAACTTTATAAGTACCACTAAGTGGCCCTCTCGTACCACCTCTATTCTGTTCTAGTCTTGATGTGTCAATTATTTTATTTAGCAAATAGAGGAAATATATGTTGCTATTTTACGCTGATGCAGCCTGCAGAAAGAACATTTGGCAATGTTCATCAAAAAATGTTTGAAATTTACCTATGTATCGAGTGAGTTATTTCCTCAGTGTATTCCTAAAGTGGCTCTGATTCTTTTAAAGTGTTGATATATCTGGGTTTACTTATAATTATAAACATCTGTAGACACATATAATCAAAGGTACAGGGTTTTATCAGCAATCAATCTATCAATTATGTTCCTTCTGAACAAATCCTTTGTCCTAAGTACTTTAATGGATATAAGGCGCCATTTGCAAGAAATATTTTTTGATGAAACTTACATTTTCTTAATTCCAACTTAAAAACCATTTAAGATGAAGAAAATAATGTATAAGAAAAATTTTGGAAATTCTATTAAAAGTAATGAAGGTGTAATTTCCACCCCTTAAGAAAACATTACCCTTTGAAATTGTGAAAATTCCCACACATGAATATTAATTCTGTGATGAATTCATAAGCTGCAAGTTGATATATTTCAACTTTTGATTGGTAACTTAAGATACCGTATTGGACTTAATAACCACAATTTCCAAATAAGATAGTTAATTACTTTTAAGTAAAAATTTTGAAATAACAGTTAATTGAATTGACATCAATGATTTTCAATCAATATATTGTAATTTTCTTGAAAAACACCTGTGCAGTCCGTTGTGACTGTGATTACTAGGTAGAATACGGTAGTGTGACACCTGATGAAACCCTGTATGTACACATACCTAAGTGAAGGTAATGTTGGATTTGACAATTACCTGCAAGTTATCCCCTGATGGACACACCATGATGGGCTAACATGTGGCGCGCTCTGCTATCGGTCCGGCTGAACACGGAGGAGCACATGTTACATTTGTACACGGTGGCACCGCAAGTGGTGCGCTCATGGCGATTCTTGTTGCCACAATTTGTAAAACCAAGGCCACAAAATTTGCAGAAGAATTTTTTGTCAAGAAGTAATCCTGCAGTTGATTTAATTCCAAGACCTATTCGGGCCCTATTGAGTTGCAGTCTTTTCCTGGCAATAGCCTGAACGTTCTTGGCTGGAACAGAACCAGTACTGGTGGTTCCCCTGACTGCCATCTCAACATTTCCAGCAGACCTAGGGTTAAATATGGGACCAGAACTGGTGGTCCCCTCAACTGCCATCTCAACATTTCCTTCAGCCCTAGGTGTATCTGTGAAAGTATTCTGAAAAAAGGACAAACTTTGGTTGATCTTACCTATTGTATTGGAAGCCGCGGCTGAGTCCTGCCCACTTGGCCTTGGAATAGTTCTCTGTTCTGGTGTGTTAGAGTCAGTTTGACCAGCAATAAATGAGGGATGCTGGACCCTGGTGGTCAGCCTCATTGTGCCATCCTCTATGTCTACTCCATGGGTAAGGAGATTCAGGTTACTAAAGCCCTGAGATCCTTGACCAGCTATGGAAGATAAATTTGTGTCCATTTGACTTGTAACGGTGTTAGTTGGGAGGCGTGGAGGCCAAGACCTATCTCCTGAATTATATTGATGAGAAGCACCTGGACCTTCCACATTCAACAAAAAGTTTATGTCTTCCTGTGTCTCTGCTGCCAAATCACGATGTGTATTCTCATCTTTGATTTCTACTATATTGTCACTTTCTTTCTCGTCAATGCACTCCATATGAAGAGCAAAATCCTCATCATCATCAGGCTCGGCCTTCACAACAACATATTCTTCTTGATCAGTTTTCGATTTTTTCCTTGGTGGAGTTGTTTCTCTTGGATGACTTGTGGTTATGGATGAGGAATGTTCTTGATCTTTGGTACGACTGTTTGATTTAGAATGCGACTGACCACTAGAATTTTTCAACTGTTCATTTTTCTGTCTGTGCACATTGGGCCCAAAACCACTAAGATCAGGACTAGCATAGAAGTTGTGCGAGTTCTGGTCATGGTCCCTGACCGGGCTAGGCATACTTGGAGGAATTGTTCCCTGACCACATGTCTGTGCTGGGTTAGGCTGCGTACTAGCATGTTCCAAGTCAATAACAGACACATTGCGATAACTAGAATCATCTTCCTCTACACTCTCACTGAAGTGTCTGTCTGAAGTTTCGTTTGTAGATAATGCATCTTTTGGTTTTCTTTCACATTCATAACATCTATTGTCAAAGTGTTTGCTAGAGTTTGAAGGAAATTTTTGATGGATTTTAACTACATGTTGTTCCTGTGAGTGAGGTACAGAGACACAAATGACTCCATCAACCTCCCAGTCAGGTGAATCTGCCCAGTATTTCTCCCTGCATACCTGCAGAACAGCATTGTGAAGTATATCACAGAAGGAACTCTCCTGAACTTTTCCACCTGAAGACCTCATCTTCATTTCTCTCCTATAAAAAAAGAAATTTTTTTTTTATAAAAACATGATTATTTTCATCAGAAATAATAACAAGAAGAGAGACAGCTACTTGAAATCAACATTCTAAATCATTGTAAAATATCTGCATTAAATTCCTAGCTGCTGTTCAATTTCAATGGTAGCAGATGCCCAATGTACTTGATAACACTAAAACTGCAACTGGTCCTAGTCGTTTTGTGGCATCAATGTGATGCTCTTGTGAGACATTCCAAGTTTCAGCTGTTCTCATCACTTGATGAACTTGGTTGTATAAGATGACATTATTCACTAGATTACTGCTGAAGACAACTGACATTACCGAAAATGTTGTAGATGTAAATATAACTAATAAAGATTTTTTTTGAAATCAAATTATAATCAACATAACAGCAAAATGTCTTTCTGGCAAGTCTACATTACATTTTTATTTAAAGGAATTTTTATTTACACCATTCAAACCAAAGTGGTGACATTCTGAAAATGGACTGAACATTTAGCAGTATCAATAATCTATCAACTTCACCACACAATACATCAAAATCAAGCTTACAATCATCTGGCTGTTGGTAGTTAAGAACAGTAGTGATAGGAAATTGACAATTCTTCAAACTTCAACCAAAAATGCTGCCCTCACTTAGAATATCCATAAAACTGAAATGTATTGGCAATTGGCATCTTTATCATAAGTAAAATGTAATTTGTTTTCACTAAAACACTGTATTGAGGTGTAACAAGAGGTCATTTTTCATCTCAATGCCTCCACTAGGAATCGAACCCGGGACCCCTGGCTTACTAGTCTGATGCTCAACCAATCGAGCTAAAGAGTTCTCCCTAGCCGAGAGGTATATTGCGGCTAGTATTTTACCAGGGTTACATACTCCCCCTCCAGGAAATAACTCGTCCTCGAGTTTCCAGGGGTTACAGCGACGCCGGTGGGGCATGGCTAAGTACTATTCCCGGGTCCCTACATGGGCGCCAATGTAACAGAGGTCATTTTTCATCTCAATGCCTCCGCTAGGAATCGAACCCGGGACCCCTGGCTTACTAGTCTTACGCTCAACCAATCGAGCTAAAGAGAAGTTCTCCCTAGCCGAGTGGTGTATTGCGGCTAGTAATTTACCAGGGTTACAGAGGTACCAATTATATTTTATGGAAAAACATCAGTTGAGGTTAACTATATCTTAATATTGTCCCATCACTGGTCATTTCATCCCCCACCTAAAATTTTATGCTACAACTGATTCAATCAAGATATATCTTTATAAACCGAACAAAATTTAAATCTGGGATCAATGGCCATTACCAAATTGTGCTTTAATTTTTGGTTGCCAAAAAAAATTTTTGTTACTGATTCACTTGTCCGACATAGGTTAGTAGAAAATGTTATATTTTTCTAAATGACCAATCAATTGCAAGCTTGATGGAAATTAAATCAAATCAAACAACTAAGGATTGTTTATAGTTCATGTACATGACGGAATTTTGACGATCGACCGTGGTCAAGACAAAAGAAAATCGTAGATAAATAACCAAATTTGTTTGAATCGATATAAATCAACCATTTCATTATAATGCTGTCTATGCTATTTGAAAACTTCTTAACTATTATGTTTCTAGGCTTCCCTAAAACGCAGACCTACTCAGCGGTAGCTCTATACAAAATGTAGAATGAATATATAGGTCACATGGACCATGGCTTCAGACAGTTCATATCATCAGGGTAGGGTTATGCAACCTTAAATAGATTCCATCTTATAAGTAATTATAGCAAGCAAAATGTCTAAATAAGACCTAATGATTGGCACTAGACAACAATACACAGTGCCCGTGCACAATACAAATTATTTCAATGATCCACCTGCTCAAGCTGTGTGAATGGTCAGAACGAGGCACCGCGTAACTTGCGAATCAATTGTCGTTTACTCTTCAGGTTTGCAAAATTATTTTCAGATTTCGATGCCTATAGAAACAAAAGCTACTATTAAGCAAACTTAAGCATACCTATTGAATAGAAAACCCTTTTGTACAAAGAAAACATATATAATGTGCTGTAGTTCCGCTTCACCGTCTTTGTTGGAACGCATCCATTGTGGTAACTACAAATTTCTACATATTACACAATTAAAACGAACATATATTATCTCAATATTATATATTTCTTATATTTATTAATTAAACTTATTTTGCTTTATATTTCTGATACCGTTTTCCAATGTTTATTTCTTTATCAATTAAAATATGCATTTATGGCATTTTCAGATTATTTTGCTACAAATGCGTTTCGTATCTAATTCTTGCATCCTATCTTTGCGGAAGTGTACATGTACATTGACAAGGTGCTCGTATCATCATTATTATGTTTTGGTCATTATAAGGGTAAGTTGTGATCGTTAAAATGACATATTTCTCAACACTAAATGGATTTCCAAGAGAAACATGATAATTATAATCGGCACAAAATTAGCTTGTGAGAGCATGTAAACATGTTATAAAGCCGTAATAATAATAATAATGCCACATATGTATTGATAATTATGGTAACGAAGCATGGTACAGTGAAAATATTCGCACAAGTTGGATTATTATAAATAGTAAAAGGGAATTCTAGTCATTTCGGTGCCAAGTCGTTTTGGCATCCAGTTGTTTCGATACTTAATAAAGTCGTTTTGGTACATAAATGGTTTACATTGCAAGGGTGGCATTTTGAGTGAAGTTTTTTTCAGTAACGGCATGAACAATATTTGTGAATGACAAAACACTTTAAACCCTGAATTATATACATAAATCAAAACATTTTAAAAGTACCAAAACAACCAATTTTTGAATTACCGAAGCAATCTGAGACCGAAATGACTTGCCCCTGTTAAAGGCCATTTGAGAAATATACATGTTGTGAATATAAGAATATTGCAGAAATATCATCAGTATATATATAAAGCATTGAAGTATGAGTCAAATTTTCATAATGAAACAAATAATTTTGATTGGATTACTTTAAGGTCTCTGTGCAGAGAATTGTTGCCCAAAACATGGATGAGGAGGCTTTATCTCGTAATAATGAGGTCTGTCGAATGTTGCGCCAGTCCCTGTTGGAGATCTGTCGAAACCACTACACAGCATTGGCAGATATGGAAGTAGATGCTATTATCTGTTTGTCTGCTATTAACTCTTCACAACAAAACATTGTAAAAATACACCAAGTCGTGCCTAGGGAAAATTTCAAAAATACTTCAACTAATGGAATCCATGCCTCCAAGGTCGAAAGTAGTTTAGGTATTGCCAGAGGAATTCAGATGCAAATTAAGAAGCGAAAGCGTCTTATGTGCAGACAAAAACATAACTTCAGGATAAAACTAAATGCTGTCAAGACAGACACAGCGCCAAGCAGTCTGCTGAAAGATGGTGAAACAAATAAACCAAGTTCTAGTAGGAGAAAGATGAAAAAGAGTTCTGTGACACAGTATCCACCCTGGAGCCAAACTGAATCTCCTTCAATGTCCATGGACCACTGTGACACAGACAATACTGAGAATACCTTGTTTGTTACCAGAGACAAACAAGGACACTTGTTGAGAGTCAGTCAGCTCCCTACAAAACAACCTACATCTCATGCTGACCAATCCATCTCAGGAAACAAGGAGAATAATCCAGAGGAGGAGGATGGACATCAAGACAGCTCCAATTCCTCAATAGAGGAAAAAGTTGCCATCAAAGAAGAACCAATTGATGATGCTTATGGGGACAATGACAGTATTGGTTTAGGACACATAGACAAAAAGGGAAATCTTTCTGAGATTACAATTGGAAAAAGTGATTCAGATTCCCAGGAAATTACATCATCCTTCTTTACTGAGCAAAGAGAACCTAGAGGCAAATTTATGATTTACAACAAGGAACTAGGAACGGTGGAGACAGAACCTCCTGAATCCCAATCTACTGATGAACACGATGACCAAGACCTGAGTGATGATGGGAAGGAGGCATCAAAAGCTCAGGATTATACTGAACATTCCCATGAAACATTTGTTGTGAAAACTGAACCAGAAGATCCAGAATACAACAGACCTGAAAACCTGCCCATAGTTATACAATCTGTTCAAGGAAATACAACATTTGAGATGGGCAAAAACACAAATCAAGTGTCTCTTCTGAGAAATTGTCTGATAAAGACAAGCGATGATAAAGAAATCAAAATGTCCTCAATGTTCCTTGACAGTGAAAGAAATTCTCAGGTTTCCAAATATCCCACAGACAATAATATGGAACAACATTATGCAAGTCCATCAACATCTGTAATTGACTTTTCTGCAAGTTGTAGTAGCGACTGGAAGAATGTGAAAGGTTACTCTTTATTAGGTGAGGAGAGGTCGGATGATGATGGTATGTCTCAGTCAAGTGGCTGTGATACACCACTTAGCACATCAACAAGGGAGCCAGCAGTACTGAGACGTACAAAGAAGAGGAAAATTACAGAACCCAAACTTGTGTCCCTTCTTCACAAATCAGCTGTCATGGAAGCAAGTTCAGGGTTATCTCCCCTAAGGATCTCTGGCATAGATAACTCATCAACGAATATTTCTAGTCCAATGAGTTATTCTTCAGCAAATCAGAGTTTTGAGGATGGAGATACTATTGTTAGGGGAGAATCTAAACAGTTCTTTTGTGAAAAATGTGGCACTGGGTTTGCCTCCAGAAAGTCGAAAATGAGGCATGAAAAGTTTACTTGTGGAAATCATACGTTTGAATGTTCAGTGTGTGGCAAGTTTTACTCACGGGCAGACAGTAAACAAAGACACATGCTGAAGATGCATGGTGTTAAAATTATGCCATCACAACTTGGGATTGATCCCCTTGAAATGAGCAGTTCAGAAATAGATGATGGTATGACATGGTTGTGAAAAGAATGTGTAATAACATATTTGTTGTATTTGAAATTACATAAATGTACATGGTAATTTATTCTTCTTCAAGTTTATGAAAACAACTCATACATATAGTTTGTTATAGGAAGTATTGGGATTGATTTGTGATTTAACCCATAGATCAATTAATTTCTGTCTAAAAAAAAATTGAACTAAATTATCGTCTATTTATTATTCATTTGTGTTGCGGAAGGTTTCTATAAGACATATCACTTATTTATATATGATAACAGAAGCATTGTGATTTATACCATGCTACATTGTCTGTATTGCTTGAACTTTTCCCTTTAAACAACTTTCCTCAATAACCAAAGGACCAATATATTCCTGGAGTCTTCATATTTGACTGGTAGCTCTCTTGGTTAAGTTCAACAAAATTTGTGAACAAGGTGACAGGGGTCAAATTTTTCAAAATCCTCTGTCAAATATTTCAAGAACCTCTTAAAATTTCTTCTGATTATCCAAACTAGACTCTTATGACTGAAAAGTTGTGTGAAAGTGATCTTGACTCATGGTCACCAATCATATTTCCAGATACATGTGAAAAACATAAATGGGATATACTGTAAAAGTTAGGTTTTCTTATCATTTTTCTTATGTCCTGCTACATGTAGCTTAATCCATTTCCAAACATTAGCTCCACCATGATTTAGCTACAACAGGTGCACTTTAAATTAGTGAAACAGTGTTAAATATTTGCGTATATTCTTTAATCTATGATAAATAAGCCAAACAAAGCAGCACAATTTTGATACCAACAGAGATTAAAAGTTGATCAAGTCATTGACTGAGGTTCAGATAACCCACTGTACTGTATTCAGACAATCTAATTTTATATCGACACGGGATATTTCAGTCAATATCACCTGTCCAAACTGACTTTAGGAAAGATATTTTTATGCTGTTAACAGTGATAACTTTTTCTGGTTCCTAGCTTTGTCACTGACACAAACTGATGAGAGAATAAGACATCCTGCTATCTGACCTGATTAGGTTTTACCTGCCTCTCCTAGCAACAACATGACATTGAGCCAGTCACGAGATCTTGCATCCTCAAGGATGGAGGTCTTATTAGTCTTGTGTCAGACGATATAACATGATATAGCATTGCCTATTGTATAGATTGTGACTTGAATGTGATAACACTAAATATAAATGTTGAAAGGCTCTGCGAAGAGTTTTCTAACAGGTAAATCTCTCTAAACTATGGTGTGTATCCCAGGATGTTTTTTTATAATGACAAAAATTTTATGATTAATCACTTAATTGAAATATTTGGCACATTAATGAATTTGATTTATTTTAGATTTTTCATATCTTTGTTTGATGCTAATGGATATAGTTAAAGCCATGAAATGTTTTCAATTGTAGTTCCTCATTAGAATAAGTTAGTTTCCCTAGTCAAATTTCATAATTTACTTTTTATAGTCATTTTGTTTTCAGTCATTATACTGGAATACTTCTTTGGTACATTTGAATCCTTTCTTTGTATATTGTTTCATAATCAGAGAAATAGTAATGATCTTTGTCCTTTCTTACATTATTTTTCTTCTGACTTAGACATATATTAATCATATTTAAGTCTATAAATAAATCAGTTGAGTAAACTCACAATTTTTCCTATTTAGACTTTATGGACTTTCCCTGAAAATGAACACATATTAAGATTTGTTGGTCAAGGAGAACCTATGATAGTTTTTGCTCATTTCATGTTTATAGGGATTTTTCAGAAAAAAAATAGAAACCATTTTACTAAAAACATGCAATATTTTATGACAAACTGAATCATGTAGCCTGCTCTAGATTTGATATTGTTTATGATAATGACAATGTACTAAATTTATATACATATCTTTATTTTAATTCTGCAGCTGTTGTTTAATTTGATAAGTTAAATATATTTTTCATATATTTCTATATCGATATGGTCCATTGTGTATATTTGATTTTGAAATTAAAAGAACACAATGGCCATAATGCAGCCATGTTCTCCGATTTTGGTAGTATCTGTTGATCTTCACCAATTTTCAGAGTACAAAATGGATCATTCTCAATGTTCATGTGTTCCTATTCTCAGTTGGTCCGTAGATATGTATTGAACAATTGATATTAAAAACAGACACAAAGGAAATTACTAAGATCCCAATTGTTGTAGTGGCAGGTCTGTTTTGGTCTCTTCATTGTCACTGATTCTATCACCTTCTGAACTTAGAGTGGAATGCACTTGGGCTCTCAGATGTCTCCTAAACAGAAGGCACCACAATAAATTGCCTGTTACAACATGTACTGATAAAAAAAATTGAGATGGCTACCAGCACAGGATAAAAACTGTTGTAGAGATTTAACCTTGCTATGAAATTTTAATCTCCTGGTGATCATAATAAGATTCAACCATTTCAATGAAGATTTTTCAGGAAACATGAACGATTAGTTAGTACAGACTTTTAATTAAACATACTCTATATATATATGAATAAGTGTGATAACTGTGGGTGTCCAAGTTAATGTTATGTATGCCAAGTTCTGTGCTAATGGCCATCATTTTGAAATTAATTTAGCAGTGCTTACAGTGTATATTTCTTCAGGACTACAAAAGGTTCCAGGAAGTAAAAGGGTAAAACAACAGAGAATAAATATTATATAACCGGTGGAAGCTGAGATTGTTCATTATAGGTAAAACTACCTTTCAAAGTACAAATGAACATTGTTCAACACTGCATTGTTAATTTGTCAAGATAATACAAGAGGCCTATTAGTGCCATGAAAAGGAAATCAAGCGGGCTCCGAAATGTACTTTTACTATAGTTAAATTTACCACCTCTACAGGGGAAAATCTGAGACCCTTGGGTCTTGAAAATCACAATTTTGGTAAATCACCTGAAGACTCTTTCATTCATGAAAAGCATTTGAATCCACCATATCTTGGTGTTGAAGAGTTCTTAAATTTAGTTGGTTAGACTTCTTTTGGCTGTGCCCATCAGGCCCCTGAGGGGTGGGGGGACCATATGATTCCATATTTTGGGTTCATCTTTGACTAGGGAATATTTCTTCACAATTTGATAGATGTCAGTTTAGGGTTTTTTTCAGAAGTCAGAATTTTAAAAGTTTACCGCAAAAGGCGATGGAAATAGGTCACTGTAAGACGGTCTCAGCAGACCATAAGATTTTATATATTATGGTGATAATGAATGTAGAGTCATACAGAGCACAGAACAAACTTACTTCATCTAGTATATGGAACCACTGAATATAGCTTGGGGGGCGAGTGCCAAGACCTGTCATAGATCTGATAATGTGTGCAAATTGTACCTCTGTAAATGTATTTTCTGGTAAATGCAAACATTACAATAAATAGTAACAAATTTCCAGTTGTTAATAGTTCTTGGTGTCAGAAATTCGAGCTGTTGTTTATTGTTTTAAACAATGTTTACATACTGTAACATTCTATCTATTTAACCGACTCATTGAGATGAAGTATGACTGGGAATATGGCCAAAGATACTGTTTACAGAGAAAGTCCAGTTTAGATTTACAAGGGATCAAAGATTGTACAAGAAACACACAGGTGAGTAGCAGTAGAGCCAAACAATGAATTAAAGTGCATTATACCGCTATTTCATCCTTCTAGGACTCACCAGTGATGCTAAGGGCCAAACATTTGAAGCCAAGGAGGCTACTAAGGAAAATCCAAAGTGATCAAAAGAAAGGTCAAAATCTAGACGTGGAGGTGCAGCAGCCCCACAATTAGATAAATTTCTTAATTTTCATACATCAGATAATTTTAGAATAGCGTCAAGTACATTTATTTTCTGAACTGTGACTGTTCAGAAAGTCCTCTGCTGCATGTGTGATGTGGTCATCTGACTGAAAGTGGATACTGGAAATGGCCTTTTTCATTTATGGAAATAAAGTCTGATAGAGTAAGATCAGGCGCATAAGGGGGATGCTCAATCAAATCAAAACCACAAGCCTTAAAGTTGAAGGGTAAAATAGAAATGTTATAACCTAGCTGTGTGAATGTTCCCCCGTATACAAAAGAAGGTGAAAGGGGTCCGTTATTTATATTTTGTAATCAGTTCCTATGGTTATATGTAATTAATTCGTACATCTGCATATCAAACAAAATTTGATATGGGAAGCATACCATACCTTACAGAAGAGTAAAAGGTGTTCCTTCTGATTTTGAGTGTGGGTGAGGGGTCCTTCTATAGACTTCCCTTAGGCTTTCTTGTCTGCGAAGATTTTCTTTTGTGGCATAATAAGGATTTATATTTGTTCAATTCATATTGTACGAGGGCTGATTGATAAGTGGTGAGCTGCATATTTAAGGGTGTGACTTTGGCAGAGATATTGCATTATTTTTCAACATAATTCTCTTCAGTATCTATACACTTTTGCCAGCGATGTTTAAGGTCCTCAATGCTGCTTTTAAAGAACTTTTCTGGACCTGAAAGTGGGAACTGGAAACAAGCCTTTTTTCAGTTTTGGAAATAGATTTAAATCTGATGGAGTAAAATCAGGGGAATAAGGTGGATGCTCAATCAATTCAAAGCCACAGTCATTAGTGACAGACTTGTGGACTGGGACATTGTCCTGGTGGAACAAAACACATTTATGGAGTTTTCTGCAGTGCTTCTCTTAACTGCCTAAAAAGTGAGGCATAATATGTGCCATTGATTGTTTGTCCCTTTTGCAGATAACTTACCATTAGAATACCATCAGCATCCCAGAAAACCGAGGCCATTACTGTTCCAGCTGATGGAACAATCTTTGCCTTCTTTGGTGGAATAAACCAGGGTGCTTCCATTGTTTAGACTGGTGTTTGGCCTCTGGTTGAAATGATGGACCCATGTTTGATCCAGTCAAAAACCTCCGCAGAAAGTTTACAGGATCGGTCTCTAAAAGGTACATATCAGCATGTGACAAAGTCCACCTGGTGTGCTTCTGATCATGGTACCCAACGGATTGAGAGCTTTCTCATTGCAAGATCTTCTGCAAGATTGGAATGTACTTTCTTATGCGAAATCCCAGCTGTACTGGCTATGTATCTTTCTATAACTTGCCCGTCAGTGAAGACAATATCAAGGATTTCAATGACGGTTTCTGGGGTTACAACAGTGATGGGCCTTCCAGGATGGGCGTCATCCCCAAGGCTCTGTCTGCCATACTTAAATTCTGCCACCCACCTTTTCAGTACAGTATATGAAGGGGAATCATTCCCCAGTGTTGCTACCACATCAATATGGCTATCCTTAGGTGCTAGATCTTTCTTATGCAAATATTAAACACTGCTCTTTCAGCAACTTTATCCATTTTGCAAAAGTCACTTGCCTTGTTTATTTTAAAGTACTTCTTCTTTGACATAAAATGGACGAATTGACACCAGTCTTCAGGTACACAGTCTTAAACAGTCAGGGAATGGTACAGCTGAAAAGAACATTCCTTCATAATGTAATAACAAATTGTGAGTACATTTATTTGAAGTTCTATATCTGAATTTAACAGGTTTATTTTTTATGCATAAATTATTTCAAGAACTCTTGCAAATGGCAAAACAAAGTGTACCTTAATAATTGTCTGCACACTGACCTGGCCAGCAATCATCTTCTTAACATAGATTTATCTCACGACACTTGATAAATCTTCTCCCATTGAAATTGATTATAAACATTCCCTACTACTTATGTTTATTGGAACTCTCCAAGGAATGTTATTACTGGTTCTGTTCATCAAGATTAGACAAACAGAATCGCATGTAAACAAAGAGAAATTGCTGTAAGCAAACGTGTATCTAGAGAACATTATCTTGTACATATTTTCTACAAAGCCAATGAAGACATGTGTAAATGATAAATTCTCCTTACCAATTGGTTTTATACACTTGAAAATGTGATTTGGTTCAGGTGTACAACTTTCAATTTTGTAGACCTTTTTTTGTGTCCAAGAAATAGATCCATTAAATTATTTCAAATAATTTACTTTTCATTGTTATTCCTTATTCAACAGAACAATTAGAGTTATCAATCTTTTTCTACAAACAAGGGACCCAATGGACCTCAGTATTTCACCTTATTTTTTCATAACCAGCTATACCTCTATTTGGGGAAAACTTCTTAGTATGGAAAAGAAGATGCCTGGTAGTGTATCTACATAGAAGATGTAGATGTTTATTGGTATACCAAATGTTCAGTCCATTCATGAAAGTGGCTGTATTAGCTCAGATTGACCGACGTAATCTTGGTTAAGATCCATGGTGCTTGGTTTGATGCCCTTTACCCATGATGGTTTGTTTCTCTGGAAGTTGAGAAATCGACTGGTCGGTGTTGACATGGTTGTCTTTGGGCTAGACGTTTTACCGTAATTACAATGAATGGCTTGTGGTGGGCCTCCCATATGTTATTCAATGAGGTAGCCACCTCCTACTACAAGGAGAGACAGTCTCAAAATGACCCTGGCTGTTCATCAGGTGTTAACTCAACAAACAAACCATTCATGAAACACCAATAATGCTCCAGAATCCAGGTAACTGAAGCAATTCAACTTTTGATGAATCTTTTAATTCTTTCTATTAAAAGTTGTACTGAAGTCTATTGTTAGTTTATAGTAAAGGAACAGCAACCTTTTTGTGGGACATTAAAAAAAGAGTATTTCTTTGAAGTTTATTTCAATTGATAAATTACAAATTCAAGTATTGATATTTTTTCTTTTTATTACCAGATTTGTACACATAATTTATTCATTGTCCACGTTAATCGTCTGTGTACCTGAAATTGAATAAAAGAAATGGTAAATAACCAACCATTTTTGTCACATTTAAATTATCAGCATGATGTACTTTGCTTATGATGTATGTGTTGAGCAGTGCTATTCAACCGACTATGGTTATTCATTCACTTATCAAAAAGGAGTGGAAAACACATCTATTTCTAGATCGGATTAAAAGTCAGTTGTACGGTTTCACTGTAGTAATGGCATTTAATTCAAGATTAATTTTACAAAAACAAGAAATTTAAAACAACACTGAATTTACCTTTAAAGGATGCACATGGTACATATGTAACAAGCGTGTAAAATCTGTTAGTGGAGTCTTCATCGTCGTTCCTCTTACGAGCTAGTCGTACACGTACTCTGTAGGGAACGTTCCTGTCCAAAAAAAAATACCTTTGTTACACAACTTACATCGTAACTTCACGTTGCACGATCTGATCAGATAACCACTAGAGTTTGTCTTCAGGATAACAATATCTCAAATTTACTCATGAACAGAAACCGATCTCCTTTCACAAGACTGAATGTAAATTGTACAAAGTTTTTAGGATTAGATTTTGTAATGGACAATTTAAATGCATTCTAGTTAATGTGATACTTCTTATCAGGTCAAGTCAGTTAATTAAATGAACATTTGTTTGAGGTGTTTGACAGTTACACACAATTGGAAGGAATTCTTCAGTTATCCTGTTAGAATTGGTGGAAAGCTTCTCAGACTAACCAAAGTTATTATCTATATCCCTAGTTATGTTGACTACCACACAAACACAACAATTTATCCCTTTTAAAAGTCTCCTATTGTTGAAAGGATTTTTATCACTAATAGCGCAAAAGAATCATTGGGTATTCTTGTTTTATCATTTTCAGCACTTGTTACCAAAGTTCTTTTGGTTTTTTTTTCCAAGCTAAAGAGCAATGATATAATTGTCCTACCTCATGGGACTATTCACTGTAATGCATAACAGCCATTTCTATATAATAGCTGAAAATTTTGAAAATTTCCTCCTTCCCCTCATCCTCAAACCAAACTTGCTCCAGGTATGCCATTTTTTGAAAATGTGCAAAGTGACATTGCAGTTTCCAGTGTTATTTACTCAACGTGAATAAGTTATCAAAAAGATCTGTTATTGGACAACTGTCTCTGACAGGCAAATAATATATAAATATCCAAGATTTGAATATTGTAGCCAGTTTTCAATGTTTTCTTAATTACCTGACACCCTGTGACCACACATGCTTGTTAAGCCTTGTGTCTATCCTGACATCTGGAGTTCCCATCATTTTCTCTGCGAATTTACGCACAGCTTTGATGGCACGGGGAGCCCTCTTCTTGAAGCCACTGCAAAAAAACAAAGAATATCAAACTTTGTCACATCAGTACCCAATGTTGTGAAATTTATACTTACAAGAACAGTATTTTAAAAACGTAAAAAGACCATTTTTTTCAGTCCCTAACTTCCACAACACAAAATTCCTCAAATGGCAACAAAGATGTTATGAACTTACAAAGCACAAATTTTTAATCTATTTTCCAACCCCGTTTCCTTGATAGACAAGCCCACAGCATTTTTGTTTGATCAGCTGTGATTTAATCTACAAATTTACATACATATTTTAGTGGTACTCTTATTTCAGTTCTTTTTGCACTTAAGGTATTGGGCTACACCAAAATGTGGTAATGCGAGACATTTCATTGCACAAAACCCAAGTATGTTTACGACATATTAGGGCTGCCTAAAGTACAAAATTTCTGACAAGGGTACTGGACAATAGCAACCTAACCTGAATCCATTTACCATAACATGCAAATTTACTATCCAGAATCCACAACGGTTTTATTTTGTTTCCCTATGTATTAATTCAGAAATGAAAAATGCTATTGATCACAAGTTAACCGATCACCTTCCCATAAGTAGACACACCAAATGAGGTGGACATTTTCATACACATTTGTTGAAATCATCTATTAATGGTGTCAATTTCAATCAGAAAAGGTAATTGTTTAATGACGTTCAAGACACACAAATGTTATTGCACAACGAATATTTTACATACATTCCATGAATCCTCTTGTGGACGTTGATAGTGCATTCCTTTGTAATGACCTCGTTGATCGTCTGTTTCTTCTTGTCCCCTTTACCAGCTCCTTTGCGGGGTGCCATTTCGACTGAAACAATGCATAGACGTCAAAACATTTTCAACTGTATTACTATGGGAACTTAAAATTGCGACCGCCATATACAAGCATATGCGAGAAGTAACAGCTATGTATAGTATAGTACAGTATACCGGCACTCAAATATTACTAGTAGTACCGGGATAATGCCGGTTGAGTTTTAGAGCAATGTTCTGTACCTAATGCATGTTTACGTTTTGCTTGAAGAAAAATCCCATGGATTACCACTGGAACCTATACATTTTTTATACAACAAACTTGACGATTTTCTATGGAATACTGTAACAACAGATCTTCAACTGATCACGTCAGTTATACTAGGTTCCTTTATACTTTCCTGTTAAGTACATATACGTTGTACGTCGGAAGAACACATTTAGATGATGCTTTCAGTTTTAAAAATTACATTTTATCGAAAGCTATTCGGGATATAAATATAATATATATAAAAATGCAATAACAATTTATCGAATATTTGAAAATTGTCGGTAATGGTGTTTATTGATGGCTAAATTCTTCGATGTCAAGCGATTTTCTCATTCAATCTTTCACGCCGATAATCACCTAAAATATGGCGTCTTGAAAAGGAAGTGCTAGGTGCTCATGGGGAGATAACTCTCGACACACAGTAACATTCCAATGACATGCTATACTACGATTACAGCATATATATCTATGGGTTACAGTACATTGCGACATTAATTATTACGTCAGATAGCCAATATATCCAGGTGTTTTCATAAAAGATACGAAACCTTATGGGAAATTTGGTTGCCACAATGGGTTTGCATAAATCTTATTTTAGAGCAAAGTGCAAACAAAACAACCTTTTGTATGTATGAGTTACTGCCCTTCCATCGTTAAAAAGTTGAACGCAAACTTTCTCACCGTCTTCGATTTTGTCGCGTTGACGGGGGTGTCAAGACGACAAAGCGAGATGGCCATAATCAACCGCAAGATATCGGGTACATCATTTATATTTCTGACGACGATACATTATTCCAATAAAAAGGTTTCGTTAAACCGATCTTTGAAAAATAAGCAAGATTTAGATATCGTAGGGCATATTTTTTGAGCAAAAAAACTTATAGTATTAAAGCTTTCGAAATATTGAAAAACAAAGATGCATGCTTCAGTCATTTCCAAATCAGTAAAAATAATAAGTTTTCATTGGCTACTGCAATGTCAGTTCTTTCAGAAAGTCTGAGGAAGATTCACAACAATGTCATAAATGAAAATAAGATGATAAAGGGCTGGTGTGACAGAGAGTGATACAAGTCAGAGGGTAAATGACAGAGGGTGATGTAACCGAGGAGGGATACAACTGAGGGCTGATACAACAGATGGATGTAATGACAGAGGGGTGATATAACAAATGGGCTCTATAACAAAGAAGGGATACAAAAGAGGGGTGATATGACAGTGGTTGCTACAACAGAGGATATATGTCATGGGGTGCTATGATATAGGATGATACAGCATAAGAGTGATATGACAGTGGTTGATACAACAGAATGTATATGACAGAAGGAAGTATAATATAGGATGATATAACATAAGGGTGATATGACAGAGGGATGATATAACAGATGACCTTCATATCAAAGGAGGGATACAAAAAAATGGGTGATATGACAGAGGTTGATACAACAGAGGGGCGGTATAACAAAGGAGGGATACAGAAAAATGGGTGATATGACAGAGGTTGATATAACAGAGGGGCGGTATAACAAAGGAGGGATACAAAAAAAATGGGTGATATGACAGAGGTTGATACAACAGAGGGGCGGTATAACAAAGGAGGGATACAAAAAAATGGGTGATATGACAGAGGTTGATACAACAGAGGGGCGGTATAACAAAGGAGGGATACAAAAAAATGGGTGATATGACAGAGGTTGATACAACAGAGGGGCGGTATAACAAAAGAGGGATACAGAAAAATGGGTGATATGACAGAGGTTGATACAACAGAGGGGCGGTATAACAAAGGAGGGATACAGAAAAATGGGTGATATGACAGAGGTTGATACAACAGAGGGGCAGTATAACAAAGGAGGGATACAGAAAAATGGGTGATATGACAGAGGTTGATACAACAGAGGGGCAGTATAACAAAGGAGGGATACAAAAGAGGGCTGAGATGACAGAGGGTAATACAGCACAGGGTATAAGATTGTGATATAACACAGTGTAAACATAAAAGAAGGTTAGTGTAACCGTAGGTTGATATCAACAGAAGGCGATACAACAGAGGGTATAAATGACAGAGGATGACGTAATAGAAGGTGGGTACAACAAAGGGCTGATATAACAGAGGGTGATGTAACAGATGATGCTACAACAGAGCGGTTACGTGACAGAGGTTGATATAGCAGAGGGGTGATATAACAAAGGAGGGATACAAAAGAGGGATGATATGACAGAGGGGATAAATGACAGAGGATGACGTAATAGAAGGTGGGTACAACAAAGGGCTGATATAACAGAGGGTGATGTAACAGAGGATGCTACAACAGAGCGGTTACGTGACAGAGGTTGATATAACAGAGGGTGATGTAACAGAGGATGCTACAACAGAGCGGTTACGTGAGAGAGGTTGATATAGCAGATGGGAGATATAACAAAGGAGGGATACAAAAGAGGCGTGATATGACAGAGGTTGATACAAAAGAGGGGCGATATGACAAAGGAGGGATACAACAGAGGGGTTATATAATATAGGAGGGACACAAAACAGGGGCGATAAGACAGAGGGTGATACAACAGAGGGGCGAGATGACAGAGGTTGATACAACAAAGGGGCGAGATGATAAAGGAGCTATACAAAAGAAAGGTGAATAAATGAAGGAGTGATATGACTGAGGGATAATATAACAGATGACGGGTGATATGACAGAGGGTGATTCAATAGAGGGGCGCTATAACACAGGAAAGATACAAAAGAGGGCTGATATAGCAGAGGGGCGGTGGAACAAAGGAGGGATATAAAAGAGGTGTGATATGACAGAAGGTGATAAAAAGAGAGATGCTATGACTGAGGGATGATAGAACAGAGGAGTGATAAAACTGGTGCCCAGTTTGATTATTTTTTTACGAAAAAAAATTATGACTTTCTTTTCATGGCATACAAAGACGTTGCCTATTTGCAAGGTGATTTCTATATGTTTGTACCTATTTGAACGGAGATGGTATCACATATTCTGATCTATTATCGAGGAAACTAACACGACATGGAAAATTTCAAACTAAGAATTCAATATGCAAATGTATGAAAAATTATGCAAATGTTTTTGTTAAAAATGCTAATCAAACGCACTTCAATCTTCGTCGTAAAACATGTTGGTAATTGGAAACTGATAAGGAGCCAGTATGACAAGTTCGTGCATTGCATGTTACTTATCCACATTTCTCATACATTTTATTTCGTTCATTTGAATAAGATCGTTGGTTATGATAGATGTTGGGTCGCCTTGCTCTCTATTCTTCTCGTCTTAATAACAGTTCGACAGCATTAGGAAGTACGTCGTTTCTTTGTAGATAATGTAACTAGGTCATGCTATTAAATACAATATGTATGTCATCAGTATATGTTTAGTGATATTGAGAATGATTAAGACATTAGTTAACCCTTACAATATTCTTGTTTAATTGGATTCTTTGCCAAAAAGCATGATTCAGAGCGAAACATGTTTCAGAGCGAGACATGATTCAGAGCGGGATAATTTCAGAACAAGTCATTGCAAGGCAGGTTTTAGAGCAAGGAAAATGTACTGTTACAGTCATTATTACCAATGTAGATATTTTACAGTCGGAAAGTCATGTTTGACGTTTCAATGACTACAGTGTCATCTTCGTCGGACAAATGACTGAAGCACTGAAAATGGAGACATGAATATCTACCCAATGGGCGAATGTTGTCCATTAAAAGATGAAAACGAGCCTTATTCACTTACAATAGAGTTACTGTTGTGTATTAAATCGAATCATTTCTGTAGCGGAAAGCTGTAGAATGATTGACCGATGTGTACTGCTATCGTTGTCACATCGAAAATCCTTATATGGTAATGTTAAAAATAAGACGGGATTTAAACGGGACCAACAGTATCTCTGGTAATTTTCATACAATATTCTGTTTTATCTTTTAAAAAGTAATTATAATGATATACACGCTGTAGGCTAGTGATTTTAATATCTAATACCTTTCAGGTGCCCTCCAAAAATAAACAGAACTGTTTTATGATACATCGTTTGCCTCATAAAAACTTAAGATGATTTCGATGTATTTTCTAGTTTTGGGGAATGTAATTAACATCAAGATTATGCAGATCAGCAATACATGAAATTTGTCATACTGGGAATAAGAAGTTTCGACATAAATGGAAGTAATATTTAAGGAAGAAGTCCTTCACAGCCGAATCACTCATTTGACCGCAAGTCTCAATGTTATGACGCAAATGAGACTGTAAAACTCTTACGTTGATTGTTTAACTCCACCTAAGATTATATTTGGAAATCTGCTCATAGTTTGCAGCAGTAATAGTAATTTGTTAATTTTATTTATGAAATAAGAAAGACTAGATGACATGCGTTAACAAATACACCAATACGCCCGGTAGATACCGATCGTGATTTTTTATGAGAAATCTGAAACGGAAGGAGATACTTATTACAATACAATATATTTTTTAAGACATTTTAAATATTCATATGTCTTCAAGGTCATGCCAATGGATACAACAGAACTGTGTCATTTCGAATCACAGTTGTTGCTGTGTAGTTCAACAAGTGGAAGATGTACATGTAAATAAAAACTGACATAGGAATTTAAAGTCAACACGAATACAAACAAACATATACACAAACATATACCAACACATGCCAACACAAACACATACCAACAAATATCAACACAAACACATACCAACACATACCAACATAAACACATACCAACGCAAACACATACCAACACATGCCAACACAAACACATACCAACACAAACACATACCAACACAAGGA